TGATTTTGGCATAATGCATAAATTATTTTCATCATATTAACCGCGTATAAGCTTGAGAATTTTGGTTTTTCTTGATAAAGTTAAAGTTTGATAAATTGAGGATTTCAAGGCCGATTTTAACTCCGTTTTCAATGAAATTTCATAGTTGAACTTTCCTAAGCATGGGTAAGATATGTTTTAAGAAATATTTCAGGTTTGAGTCGGAGTTTCGGATCCATGTTTTGGGAGTTTTTCTCATGTACTTGTGTTTTAAGTGATTAGAGTTTTGGGCATGATTTCAACTCATTTTTCAATGTGGTTTTTACTAATGAGTTACAGAATCTTTGTGTATCATGATTTTTTTTATCACAAGGGAAACCACAGCCGCTACCCTTTGGGTGTGCATAGGGTAAAACCCTTACTCCTATGCAATAGCTCGCAAACCACATAGGAGAGGTAGCCCGCACTAGGCAAGACCGGTGTGACGAGCTCAACCCAGAAGACAAACCCCTTGCTTTCGCTGGCAAGGGATTTCGAACTTGAGACCTCCAACATGGAAGTCCCAACCCCAAATTACTGGGCCACCTCGAAGGGTGTATCATGATATCTTACAAAATCCCATATTTGATCCTAGCCTTCGAGATTGACTTTTTGGGTCATTACAAACTAAATTTTCAAAATCAACATTATATGTGTTGTTGTTCATATTTACTTATGGGTATTCTGTATTTGATTACTTGGTGTGGATTATGTGGCTCTACGTGAAGGGAAAGCTCAAGTGCAGGGGTGATCGATTGTTTGTTCGAGACAAGTGAACTTCTTGACCCTTTGTTAAGTATATAGAATCTTGTATTCCTTATTGTATGTGTTGGATAGTAATGGAAAGTGGTGAAGGGTTGATATTTGTGGTCAGATAGTCATATTGAATGATTCTAGTGATGAAGAGGGGAAATAAAAGGTAAATTGATGGTATAAGATGTGTAATGTGTTGTTGGTGATTTGAAAGATTATATTGATTCATTATTGATGATGTATCATGATTGTATTGCTATGGATTGTGTATTGATATGGAAATTGTCATCTTCTCATTATTGTGTGGACATGCCTATTTGGATTTGTTCTGAAACACTGTGTTGAGATCTATTTTGATGATTATGCTGTGGGAAAATGGTTTCGGTGATTGATGACTATGACGAGGGAAAATGGTTTCGGCGAATACATGAACCTTGTGAGTCCCCCATGGGTCCCGGTCTGATATTTAGCAGAATGGTATCGTTAGGACAGACATGCATTACTATATTTGACATTTCATTTCATTTCATTACATTACACATCATTACCATATGTCGACCTTGTGAGTGCTTGTTATGTAACTTGTTATTGATGAATATGAACTTTTGTATTGGTGACCTGTATACGTTTAAAGTGTTGCTATTCATGTTTATGTGCTATATAAATGTGAATTGTTAGGTTGGACTTATTCTGTGTAGGTTGTAGTTGTGGAGGTTCAATTGGAGTGTTGGGAATACTTGTATTATGTATTTCTTTACCTTGAGTTAGTCGTTTATTTGTTGAGTACCATGTTGTTTGGTACTCGCTCTCTTGCTTCTACACTTGTGTAGGGTACGAGTCCGGATCATCCTGATTATTCCTTCTTCTCTTTTACATCTGAGGCTTACTATGAAGAGTTGTGAGGTACTTGTTTGTCATATCGGCAGAAACCTCTTATTCTTTAATTATGTTCTTGTTCTGCTCTAGCAACAAAGACATTCATTCTTGTACTTCTTTGAATCTATTGTATTACTTAGGAGGCTTGTACACATGACACTAGGTTTTGGGGGTATTTTGAGTTATATTATGTTTCTGAATGTTTGTGTTATACTAAGTTACTTATTTTGTTTAAACTTTCACATTCACCTTATCATATTTAGGTTTAGGCTGACCTATCTTGGTGGGATAAGACAGGTGCCTTCACAATCGATTTTGGGTCGTGACAAAAGCACACAACCAAGTATAAAATTATTGTCTTGCCCTCGTCTGGAAGCAAGCATGTCGTTCAGGACCTGCTTCCTAACCTCTTATTACTAGTAGAAAAAAAAAAGTATTCCTTGAAGTAAATCAAGTTTCTAAGGAATAATCATATAACTTGGCCCATTTTTCAGTTCACACACTTACGTACGGGTGTCAAATATGGCCTGAAAATTGGTGGTCCACCCAATTCACCCAAAATCTTAAGCACAAGATAATTTCATATTGGGTTGACCCTCTTAATCTAACCAAACATAACTCATTTTTAAAGTGATCTCTAAATTTTGTCAAACTCTAGCATATTTTAAAGATTTACTTTAATTTGGGTTTACTGCTAAAAATTCACTTTGATTTTTAATATGGATCTGGGTCGAGTCTGGAGGTAGTAGTCAGCAGTCGTGATTGAAGGTTAGGTTGTAGGTTTCGAATCTCAAGGATTGGGCCTCGGGTTAAGGTCAGAGTTATATATCGAATCGTTCTAGAGGGTAAGTGCTCGAGTTCCTAGTTGAATCTCAAGTTAGTGTCGAAGGGTCTCGAGGTTTGGGTCTCAAGCCTTGGGTCAGGATCAAGTTTTAAGTGTCATGTACTAGGTCCTAGGTCAAGGCCGAGGGTTGGGCTTAGATCCTAGGTCTCAAGGCTCAAATCTTGAGTTAGGGTTAGATTTAGAGTCAGGTTAAGAGTCTTGGTTCAGGGTTGAGACTCGAGTAGGAGTCCCGAGTTTAAGTTTGGTTCAATTAGATGGTTTCCTCCTAATGAGAATATCCTTAAGAGAAACATTGATGCTTCTTTTGACGTTACTTTGGTAGGAGCGAGTCAGATATGCTAGTCTGTGATTCTCATGGAAACTTCATAAACATCATGAGAGGTCGCTCTGATGATTAGATACGCCGCATGACTCCCTTTTGGTTGAGGCTTTGGGTGTTTGAGAAGCACTAAGCTCGCTAAAGGAACATTTTTAATCAATAACAATTATTGTGGAGATCGAAAGTCTTTGGGTTAAACAAAGCATCACAAAAATCTTACAACAACTCTTAGTTTTTTTTAATATTATTATTCGAGATTGTATAGCACTCATGTGTGGCTTTACTTTTATTTCCTCATCTTTTGTTAAAAGACCAGAAAACCAATGTGCCCATTAGCTAGCTCGGGCTTTGGGTTCTATGTTTGGTTAAACCCCATCTTTAATTCATGATCTACTAAACATTCGTTTGATTAATAATTGATTAGAATGCCTTTTTCAGAAGAAAAAAAGATGTAGTGCATCTCATACATCAAAAACCTAATGCATATTCGAGACAAATGAATCCATACACCAACATATCAATAGTAAAACAATTGAATTTATGCAATGTTAAACAATGATAATGGTTGTTCAGACATTTGCTGATTGCTTTTCCTTGTGGATAGAACTCCATTCTAACATATAGACATACCTTCTAGAGATTCACATATTTTTCCACACGGCTCCACCAGATGTCATGTTCTCCATGTTGATAGATCACATTCTCCACGTCCCAGCTAGCTCAACATTTCTAACATGCGTGAATAACTTTGCATGTCTCATCTCATATAAGGATCGTCACCATTCAAAAGAGGATAAATCTTCAAAATGATTAATAACAAGACAGTATCAGCTTGAGATCGCAGGCCAGTTGCTTCCAATAATTTAGAGTGCTGGATGATCTCAGATGATATACATTAACAATTCAATACGGTATATTGCTCATGAACTAATAGAAAGCTTGAAACTTTTTCATATGCAAAGTGATCTAATACACAACGAAGAGGTTTCAACCAAACTAGGCTCATCTGATATTGTCATTAACAACATTATACAAATGAATGGATCCTTATGTTTAAGCAGATGGGACCAGAAGAACGTTAATTGAATATTGAATTCAGTCAAGTGGTTCTTTTCTGTTGTGATAAATATCCAAAGTTTACCTCACTAACCCATGGCAGTTGAATATTCTAAGAAAAGCTTAATCATACTACACATAGCATGAACCCCTCCTGATGGCTTCAAGTCAAGCTCCAAAAAAAAACACGCAAATGGATGTGTATGTGATTATACTTTCAAAGCATTTAGGGGACTACCTTAAAAGTAGACACATGCTGATGCAGTTGCAATGGAAGTCGGATGATTTTGCATGCTCTCTTTTCATAGATTATATCAACCCAAATGTACTTGCTACTTTGAGTAGTACAACTATCAAAGCTTCGTTTTCCATATTTTGGTTACAACAAAAACTACTCCAGCATGAGATATTCATTGCTTTCTTCTCCTTCATTACAGAAATAACAGTTAAACTACCAGAAAAATGAAGATACCGTTTGGTTTAATTTAAATTTCCAGAGCTCAAAGCAAAGGACTTGAGTCTTGACATTCATAAAAGATTTTGAATTTGTTTCCCCATAGGAATACCTCATAGTTTTTAACCAAAGTTTCAGGCCATGAGGAGGTGCCACTTTAAGGGCATCCCAACTTCTTAATAGAATTCCAAGATTAACCTTAACCACATTTTAAAAAGAAAGAGTAGTTTATGGAGAAAACAAATCATTTACCAGTATCGAAAATAATGGCCCCAAATAAGCTAGAATGGATATAGGAGACTCATAAAGTTGATCCCGACTAGTCCAATATCTAGGCATGATTGGTTGTTAGGAATAATTTGAGAAGGATAACAACAGAGTTGTGGCTCTAACAGAGCACGGTTTTTCCTCTTCCAGAAGTATACCAATTTGTGGAGTTCCTCTTAAATGTCATATCCCATGAGCTACAAATTAAAATCACCGCACAATGTAATCTTCATTTTTCAAGTTATTCCAAATTATGCAAGAATGTTAGGAACTTCAGTGTGACTCTCTTCCAATGGTCAAAGCAACAGCTCCCCTAAACTTGTACCTCAGCTTGGTGGTATTACCCAGAAAGAAGCAATTCATTTTCCTCCATCGTGATAGTGTTCTCTCGTCTTTGGAATGTAACAGTGCCTTCAATCCTGGTGATCTGAATTGCCTCTTCTATTGGAATAAACAGAAACATTACTGTCAGATCCTTCAACTGCTTCCTTCGGAAGAACTACCAAATGACTGCTAGGATATTTATTTATCCCTTTTTCTTTCATAGCCAATCTTAGGCTGTTCGCATCGCTGCAATAACCAAAAAGATAAGATAAACTAGATGCAAGTACATAGTTTGATTCGAGATCAGGCTCTATTTTGAGGAGAATCTCCCTTATATTTTCTTCTGCGCAAGGATTATGACCATGATTCTTACAAGCACTAATGAAACTCCTTAATATTACAGAATTAGGCTCTATAGGCATGCTCCTTATAATATAATAAGCTTCTTCTAATTCTCCAGCACGTCCAAACATATCCATCATGCATCCGTAATGTTCCATAGTTGGCCTGATGTTATAAATACTTGCCATTTTTTCAAAATATTCACGCCCCGCATCAATAAAGCCAATATGACTACAAGCATATAAGATTGCAGAAAATGATAAGTTGTCCGGCCTAAAACCAGATTCTTCCATTCTGGCAAACAAGGACACAACTTCTTCCTCATGTCCATGATCAGTAAGACCAGAAATCATGATGGTCCAGGTCTGCAGATTTTTATCACCCATCGACTTGAATATGCGGAAAGCATGTTGTATATGACCACATTTTGCATACATGCCTAAGAGGGTTGTTTCCAGCTCAACATGTAGTTCAATACCACTGGTAACAATGTGCGAGTGAATACATTTACCTAATCTGATATTTAGGATACGAGTACATGCCCCCAACAAGCTAACCAAAGTGACATAATTTGGGTTTTCATTTGCTAGCTTCATACATTGGAACAGGAGCAGAGAATCTGATGGCAAGTTACTGAGATATCTAGGAAAACATTGACTATTATGACTTTGAAATGCCAGACAGAAAGCAAAAACCTCACAGTAAAAGTTAAATAGGAAAAGAAAGAAGGAAAGACAATCATATTAATAGACCTCCTACACAAAAAGAGAGGTCAAGGTAGCAAATATTCATTTGCATGCCAAAAAGGGATGAAAAATGAACATAAAAGCCCGTTAAACTGGTTCCTCTATATGGTCAGGTACAAACTATTCAACTTCTTCTACGTCTATAAAAGAATTGATTCACTATATGAAAAAAAAAATGAGCATATCGCATGTAGCGGAACTTGGCTTTAGAAATTTATAGAATTCACTTAGGTGACATCCTGAATCACACTTTTATGATATCAAATGAAAATGAATAAGACCGAAAAGTATTGACAAAACGGTTGGAGACCCCTGACGGGAGAAGAAGTAGAATCGTTGTCATTACTTCAACTATGAGGAGCAATATCCAAATATTCGGAGACTTCATCAGGAGAAAGTCAAGTCTACTTATATTTTCTCTATTGTCTCCCTATTCCCTATTTATAAATGCAAAGCCCCTTATACTCTCCCATGGGAAAGACAAACTAACCATAGTATCCTTATAAAGTCGTTGTCCTTTCAACGTTTAATTCAAAGTTTATCTCAAAAGAAACTTAATTATTGGATTTCTCTTTATTTTTCAGGTCTAAATTGCAGATAGAATTTGACATGGGAATCCATCCATATGCAATCCGGACAACTAAACAACAACTGTGTTAGACTATTAGACCAAGTTACTGTCCATAATCCACCTTAGCTCATTAGTTTTAGAATACTCACGACCATTGGAACCATGAACTAGCTTCCTCTTTCCAAAAGTTTTGTAGGTAACAAGTCCAAAGATTGGTTTGCAAAAATTGGGTTTCAAAGCTTAAAGTTTTTATTGGACATGAATGTACATAGAGATTCCAGAATTAAAAAAAAATTTAACATGATCTGATGTATGCAAAAGTAAACAAATACAGCAGTGAGACCAGCATACCTAAATACAAGAGGCTGAAGTGTTGCACGCATCTCAACCATGAAAGTTTTCCTTCTTTGTTAATTCCCCATTTCAAAGAGTGTCATCGGGACCTTTCCAAGATAAATACCAAAATCTAAGCCATGAAATTTTTCTTCATTTTTACTCCCTTATTTTTCAGGAGTACATGCTTCTTTCCAATTTAAAAGAAAATTTTCATCATTGTTAATCCCTGATCTTTTAGGAGAGTATGCACCGTTCGCAATCTTAAAGGCTCAACACCTTACTAATCCTTTCAGATATGAACCCTAGGCTTTGTTTAACAATCTATTGTAGTATTGCAGCAAGAAGGAAAAAGAGAAAAAGTTAGACTAGTGAACAAGTTTAGAATACTGGTTTCTTCTTATAGTATAAAACAAGTATTCACAATCGACATCTGGGATGAATTTTAAAACTTCACCAAGAGTATTAGATCACAGATATTGCTCAAGACAATCACAAATACCATGACACTAGATTTCTAAAGGATAACGAACAAGGTTACAAGATAGCATTGTTCATAAAAATTGTGACCTGTTATGTGTCAGACCTATCAAAAGACATTTAGCTTACAAATTCCTCACAAAACCATACTTGAACTCGTTTCCACAAAGTAGTAAACTTGTCATGCTCAAAATCTACTTAAATTTTGGTAATTCTATTCACTCCCATTATAATAATCATCTTAAACAACCTCCACATAATGCTATAGAATTTCTCAGCCTTCACACACTTGCCAGGTTCACAAATCATAAATAATGTACTGATTCCAGAGTAATAAGTAGATACATGAAACATCTTTTAGAAGGAGAAACTGTAAATACTAAGACAACAATTACTACTACCATGCTTGAATCACAAGTAGTTAAAGTCTGATATATGATCCCTAACACATAGATTGTGATAATTGGGGTGTGAAATTCGTATAAAAGTAATATTTAATATGTGTTTTTGACAAATAACTGAAACAAATATACATACCAATGAACGTAAGCAGCCATCATTGAACTCCAAGAAACTATATCCCTTTGAAGCACTTCATCAAACACCTGTCTTGCAAACCTGATCACCCCAAATCCTGCATACATTCTCAAAAGGGTATTGTTCACATGTAAATCTAAACTGAAACCCAACTTCACAGCCATGGAATGCAATGATCCGCCCGTTCCAATCATCAAACAATGGCCAGAAACCTTTAGCACAACAGGGAATGTGAACTTATCTGGTTTTAATCCAATTTCTTGAAACTGTTTAAAGTGATTCAGAGACTCGAGACAATTAAATGAAAGGTGTCAATTAAGTCTTGCTTTGGTTTTTGGTGACACTTTGACCAAGAAATGATCAAATTCATTTTAAAATGTAATTAAGTAAATTTGGGACCAAATTAACATTTTTAAAATTTTCTAATCTTTCATAAAATACAAAAAAACACTTCATTTTTCAACTTTTATAATTCAATCCAAACCATTTTTAAAAAAAAGTAAAAGAAAATAGACCTTTTTGTTCTTCTCCCAACGTTCTCTCTTCTCTTCTTCTTCTTCCTTCGAAAATTCGAAAATTCGAAAATTCGACTATCAAAAAAAAAATTATAAAATACAAAAAAACACTTCATTTTTCAACTTTTATAATTCAATCCAAACCATTTTTAAAAAAAAGTAAAAAAAAATAAACCTTTTTGTTCTTCTCCCAACGTTCTCTCTTCTCTTCTTCTTTTTCCTTCGAAAATTCAAAAATTCGACTATCAAAAAAAAAATTATCCCCCATTATCTTATCTTCCTCCTCATCTCCGACCGTGACTCTCTCCTCTTTCTGAACTGAAGATTGTGTTCGACTTAAAATGGGTAAGTCATTTTTTTGAAAGATTTTACAATTTTCGAACAATACTAAGTTTTTTTCTTGGGTTAATGAACAATAAATCATTCTACAGATGTGAAAATTGAATAATGGTGTAATGGTAGCTATTATTTTTTGTTTTTGAAAGAACATCAACAAACCCAAAAAAGCCCTAGTTTTTAGGAAATGTGTATGTATTGTTAACATTCAGTGAAAATTCATTTTTTGTTGTTCTTTTTGTGACCATTTTGTTCATAAGATTTTAGAAATATAGTCTTGTTCAGCTGTCCAACATATATTTCATTTGTTGAAAGATGTGTCGTATATTGCTACATTTTAGTGATATGTTGGTATTTATTCTAACAGAGTTGTCATGTGTTGGAACATATCACCTATGTGTTAGGTCAATAAAATGGTCATGTGTAGTAACAGAAGATTAATTTGTCGCACATGAAGATTCATCTATGACCACAGAAGATTCATTCGTGGCAACAGAAGGTACATAGGTGGCAACAGAATATCCATCTGTGTCAACATAAGTATAAATTACTACCCATTAATATTTTATAATCATTTGTAAACTCTAAACCTTTTTTTATTTACCTTGTAAATGAAATGATACAAGAAGTTTCATCCATGACAACAACTCAATCTTTTATTGGTGTTGCTTCTTCTTCTAACATCAAATGCTCTTTTTGTCTATGCGAAGAATGTGAGCAGCAACATGATTATTTTATTAGTCGTGTTAAAGAACTGACTGATATTTTTTAAGGAAATGACTTATAATATTGATGTCCGTACATCCAAGAAGATTTCACAGCCTTTGAAGTGTAGGAGGTTGAAAAAATCTATTTCCCAATCACTATCTATAATTAGTGAAAGAAAAAAATCAATGACTACTGCTCTAGTATCACACTCAAACCCAAAAGGCAAGGAGAGGGAACAGGAGAAGGAGAAGGAGAAGAAGAAGGAGAAGGAGGAGGAGGAGAAGGAGAAGGAGATGGAGGAGGAGGAGAAAGAGCAAGAGAAGAAGAAAGAGAAGAAAAAAGTGAAAAATAAAGTGAAAGACAAAGAGATAAAGAAAGAGAAGAAAGTCGAAGTCGTCAGTTGTGATGTGAAGCAACAATATCCATTTGAAGGTTTTAACATTGACGGCAAGGGTCAAACTGAACTAATGACATCCTTCTCACAATGGATAAACAATGGTCTTTACAAGCATCATGCAAAAAAGTAAAGTCGTTCAACTATTATTAGTATTTCTTCTCGTTGTCCACTAACTATTTATTTATAATGATTACACAATTGCAGAAGAGACAAGGACGATTACTACTTAGCCAATTGCTCGGATCTTGAGTTCAAACAACTTGATTTTGTAGTTGCATTTTCAAAGAAGAAGGACTGGTTCTACGTAATGTCTCAACCCAATAAGTGCTGGACTGATGAGGTAAATCCATGCCCACTTTTATCTTTTGATTAAGACATGAATATATACAAATAAATTGATACAGAAATACACTTGTTGATGCATATGTGCGTATGTGGATGTCATTTTGTACTATTTGCAAAAGAAGTCAAAGAAACAGAGTCATTCTAAATATCGATATACCACTACTAATTGTTTTTTTCAAAACATACATTGACAATGCCAGTGTTGTTCCTGAATATGAGAATAAAATAGTTGGCACTATCAAAGGGTTTGGTATACCTGCTGGACTACCTTAGCACCTCACAAATGAGATTTATGTCCCTATAAATTGTAATGGGGAGTTTCATTGGGTCTTGGCAGTCGTTGTATTGAAGGAACGGCACATAACGGTGTATGATTCGATGTCCTCATCTAGGACTAACAGAAAATGGTGCGCCGAGATTCAAAAGTTGTCTACAATGTTGCCAAAATATCTTGAATCCAGCGGATTTTATGAGAAAAAAGACCGAGTCAACTGGTCAGTTCTTGAATCTTACCAGGGCAAGAAAGAATCTCACCCATTCGAAGTCATACATGTTACTGGTATTGCCCAACAAGCAAGCAATAGTCTGTAAGTAGTATCACATTATGTTTTTTTAGTCTTACCACTATCGAAATGTGATGTTAATATTAGGTTTATTATATTTTCTAATTTGATGATATACCATGCAGTGATTGTGGAGTTTTTGTAGTTGCATACGCTGAGTTTTTGAGTGATGGACTACAAATACCATCTGATGGAATTATTTCTCAATCCCTTCGCTTGAGATATGCTTCACTCCTATGGAATTATGGGATTTTAAAGGCTCGGACTAGCTATGTTAGTAACAATGAAGACCCACAGAGGCCTAGACATAAAAAAGTAAAGTTCGATGAAAATGTTGTGGTTACCACCATTGAATAGATTGATGGTTATGTATACCATTGTGAATTACCTTTTGGTTGATAAGTTGTATAAAATAATTGGTGAAGTGTTCATTTTTGTTGATAATATTAAATATTTAATGATTATTTATTATTATTTTTATTTTGTTGGAACAAATGTCAATTATTATGGAAAGAAAGAAATGTGGCATTTGTGGCAACATATATATCCTCTGTTGTAAAAATCACCACAGAATTATCTGCATGTTCCCCAACAAAAAGGATACATGTGGCAGCATATGTCACAGAAAGAAGATATGTGGTAACATATGTCACAGAAAGGAGATATGTGGCAACATTATATTGTCATCAATTATTCATATTTGCTGATAATATTAATATTAATGATTATTATTTTTATTATTTTGTTGAAACAAATGTCAATTATGATGGAAAGGAAGAAATGTGGTGTCTGTGGCAACATATATAACCTCTGTTATAAAAAAACACCACAGAATTATCTGCATGATCCCCAACAAAAAGGATACATGTGACAACATATGTCACAGAAAGAAGATATGTGGTAACATATGTCACTGAAAGGAGATATGTGTCAACATTATATTGTCATCAATTGTTCATTTTTGCTGATAATATTAATATTAATGATTATTAATATTATTTTTATTTCTGTTGGAATAAATGTCAATTATGATGGAAAGGAAGAAATGTGGTGTCTGTGGCAACATATATAACCTCTATTGTAAAAAAAAACACCACAGAATTATCTGCATGTGCCCCAACAGAAAGGGTATATGTGGCAACATATGTCACACTTTGAATTGTCAAAATTCAAAAAAAAAAAGGTTTAAAACAATCATCCCTTCATTTTCCCCTCTCTCCTCTCCTCTATAAAAGGTTGTTCCATATTCCAAATTTAATTTATTTTTACTAATTTCCATTTTATTTTATCTTCTTTCCTTCCTTTCTCTCGTTCCATTATACCTTCACAGATCAAAGTTGTTGTTGTGATATTTTCTACAACATCAGTGGTAATCTGTTGCGATCCTCTTCTACAACAAGGCATTGTTGCCCTCATCATTTCTAGTTTATCGTTGATATCTTCTCAGGTAAAATTTAATTAGGGTTTTGAGAAACTTACTGTTATTAAATCAGGACGTTTTTAGTGGTTTTATCACTTATTTGTTTGTAGGATGGTTGGATACTTATTCCTTTTGAAATATTATCTGATTTTAAAAAGCTTAATTTGTAGTTCGTTGGTTAGGGTTTAGGGAGGGTTTAGTGGTTTGTTGGTTGGTTCATGTGTGATATTGAATCGTATTTGTTGTTTGTGTTGTTATGTTTGGTTGTTATTATTTTTGTTAAGAAATATTTGATTTTTGTGGTTGCAGATACAAATATAATAGCTCCTATCAAAAGAAAATTTGTATTAACAAAAGAAACAACTGACACAAAGATCCAGAAGAGGCCTAGGACTAAAACTTGTAGGAAGAAGAATGAAAATTCGACTACCACTCTTTTAGAAGAACTTGCATCTGAAGCAGTTTCTTCTTCTCATGTAGAAGCAGAATTTTCTCAAAAAGAATATGAAGAAAGAGAAAAATAAAAAAATGAAGTAGATGATGATGGAGAAAGTGCAGAAGAAGTTGAGGAAGAAGAGGGAAATAAAAAGAAGTTGAGGAAGATAAAGGAAAACAAAAAGAAGTTGAGGAAGATAAAGGAAAAAATAAAGAAGTAGTTGAGGAGGAAGAAGAAAAATAAAATGAAGTTGATGAAGACAAAGGAAAACAAAACGAAGTTGAGGAAGAAGAACAAGAAAAAAATGAAGTTGAGGATTATGGGATCAAAACTATCAATGCACACACTTTTCCTATGCAGTTGCAGCCTAATGCTACTGCTAATAGCATTATGAGGTCAGCTATTGGAAAACCTTTCGACACCTTCAGGATCACCCTCAAGCAGAATGGTTTGGAAGATTTTTTTAGGAATAGTTGTTTCGGTCATTTTCTTGATTTGCCAGAGAATAATAATGCACGTTTTCAAATGACCATGGTCTATGAACTTCTGAAAACAAGGTTCATTTTTCAGAATCCTGAAAAGAAGGATGAGGTTTTGATTAATTATTGTGGTATGCCACTCTTCTTTGGCAGAAGAGAGTTTGTCATAGTTTCAGGGTTAAAATGACATCCTCCTTTTGAGTCAATCCCTGAATTCATAGTCAAAAAAGAACCACGAAGACGAAAGATAAGAGGAAAAGAAGAAACAAGACAGCTAACTGAGGAGCAGAACTTGGTGTCCCTTGTTGGCACAAGCTTCAAAAATCTCAACTTAATATATTTGTTGAATGACGAGGATACATCAAGGAAGCACAAGGAGTCATTGTGCTTACTTTGGTTTGTACATAATGTACTTTTGGCCAAAGATCTCAACAACAACATATCCCTTAAATGGGTGAATTTATCTCAGGATATTGAGGCTTTCAACAACTATCCTTGGGGTCATGAGAACTTTGAATTAACTGTCAAATACTTGTTGAAACCTTTAGGACCAAAGACCAATAACTTATTTGGCTTTCCATGGGCTTTCATGGTAAACATAAATATTCTTAATCTTTTTATATTATATTGAATAATTCAACATTTGATTTGTGACATGTTTTCCTTTTTTATAAGCTTGGGAATTTGAAGTCGTTCCTCATTTGACCCATCAAGTAAATGGAGAAGAAGAGATCTCATCTCCAAGGATATTGAGATGGTTGAGATCAAAAACAAAAACTGCCAAAAATATTCGATCTTTATAACCCTCCTCACGATGCAGTAAATTATTATAATATTACACCCATATATGTTGCAACATATCACTAATCTATAGCAACATGTGACCCAAATATTGCTATAGATGATCTATTTGTTGCAACATATGACACAAATGTTGCTATAGATGACTCATATATTGCTACAGATGATCCATATGTTGCAATATGTGACACAAATGTTTCTACAGAGGCCCATATGTGTCAACATATCACCCATCTGTTGCAACATATGACACATCTGTGGCAACATCTGACCCAAATATTCCTACGGATGACTCGTTTTTATAATTTTAGGTTGTGCATCCATGGCTTGTCCCAACAGAAAAGGAATTGCAAATGCCATATCTAATTACTCTAGGGTTGGTTGAAACCTTATTTGATCCTATTGTGGATAGAGTTAAAATGGAATTGGCTGGAGCAAGAACCATCAAAAGAGACAGAGTTGTTAATGAATTATTTGTTTTTGATGGGGTTGATGGTCGTGGTATTGATGCTGGTGCTGGACAAGACCAAGGGGCTACCTCTTGTAGAAGATGCTCTAGCTTTCTCTGTGAGAAGTGCAAGAAACAAGATGAAGATTCTATCATGTATCTTCAAACATTGAGTCAGGCTGTTAATGAATTTAAAAACAAGAGGAGGGTCAAGGTCATTCCATCAAAGAATGGTCGGCATCCATATACTCCACAGGCCAAGAGGAGGAAAATATCCTTATTCAAGGCAATACAAAATTTGAAGAAGAAGATCTTTGGAGAATTTTCAATGGCCGTAGAAGAGGAAGTGTTGGAGTTCAAACATGTGAATGTTTATAAGCGTGTGACTATAGCTGAAAAGAATAAACTGGTGGACCTGACGAGAGCAAAGGATATGCGTGCACAATACGACATGCATTTTTTTAGTGGAGAAGATTTCAGGACCATGACAAGCATGGATATTTGGTGGGAAGACTGTGTAGGTTTTCTCTACTAGTATCTTCAATTTATAATGTTCGTTTGTTATATCTTTTCAATGATTACTCATCTTTACTCTTTAATATTATTTTTTATTTCAGTATGTTGATGAAATCCTTAGCCTCATGCGGGAGAGGCATATGAGATACCCTGAGTACTATGATTCCACAGATAGAATCCTGGATCTCAACTTCTATTCCAACTTCAAACTAAGATATGACAAAATGAGCGAGGAGGCAACAACAACTGATGGCAGAAGCTTTACGCAGTTAATTAATGAGTTTGAATGGGATGAAGATATGATTAACTCTGTCAGGGGCATTAGACCATATCCTGGAGGCA